TAAATTTTACCTCAATAATGGTAAGTATACCGTTGGCAAGTGCCGCATACAATATTCCGTCGTGGTACAGTAATTTGAGCGCACAGTCCGGCACTTTCAGCTCCCATAGTATTGTGCTGTAAAGAACATATGCTTTTGTACTGAGATGCCATGAAGAAGTGGTACTTCGTTCTTTACCAAATCATTCAAAACTCACTGTTTCGAAATTGCTCTATTCCGTCATTTTGGCTATTTTCGTTTTATTACCGAGGGGCATGACGGTAGTGGGAAAACACTGTTACGTGCAGTAGGTCGAAGGTTCGACTCAGCTGATAGGACAACCAATCCCTCTTCGATTCGTTTCGACAGTAAATAGGTACTGGCATATGTCAGGAAGTCAAGCGTGCCATTAGCTTGCTTATAAATAGCCTTCAGAAGAGGAAGCCATCAACAGCCTTGCCAGCGTGTGGTTGTTGTTGACACTTGTTTCCATTTGGACAATTGCCTCCGCCTCTCACTAAGCGCGAAATATGGAAGGATTTTAATGACCAGTAGTTTAATTTAAGTATTCTTTATTCGTCCGCTCCTATGATATTTCATCATAATCCAAAAATGGCAACGCTCGAGTCTAGGTCATGATATTTGGCACACATCAGTGTTATCTTAAAACGGCTGAAGCCTCGCCAAAGTGTTTCTTTCAAGACAACCGTTGCGATAGTAGATTGTTCTGGGTGCAAGACGAACGCCAGGATCGCTAACAAATTAACCATCAGTTAGTGGAGTATTGAAGAAAGCAATTTGCAAAAAAATCAAACCTTTTCAGGCCCTCAATTTGTAGCGCGACAATATACCCGGAAAGAAGCGAAACATAAGCGATTTGGTTCTCTCGTATCACCATCGATAGGATTTTGCAGTCAAACTGAAAATTCAGGTGCGCAAAATTTTAGTGCAAAGTGCCTTATAAAAAACACAAGCAGAAAAGCATGCATTTAATGTTAAAAGGCAAGGTCTTTGCAATAACTATGAAATTTTAGGTCAACGCCCGCCAAAACATTATACAAAGGTGCATACGGTTGAAAAAGTGTCAAAAAGGCTGCTGAGTTTCCATGCTTGAACAGTGACTCTGACTGGCCAGCAGGAGCAAGAACCGTCAGGAGCGGAGCTAGTGAATAGCGATTAAAGAAAACATCGAAATATATCCAACACTAAGAAGAAATTGCTTCAAGCAGTTGTAAGGAATGGTTTTCACTTTTTCTAATTTTTAAAGTTTTTAGTCTTTTAAATTTCCGATTTTCTATATTCAATTAGTTTTAATTTTAATTCCTCAATTTTTTGTTTTTTAATTTAAAAAACCTGGATTTGCTAATTTTCGGAAGCAAAAAATTTTTGTCTTTCTGAAAAGTGGGAATTCATTTGCTACACTTTGTACTAAAATAGAATTCGTACATCATGCGCTAATACTCAAGCAGTGAACAGTGGTTTTTTTTTATTTTCTTTTTTCAGCTAAAAATCAGGCCTTATAGAAGAGAAGACTGCTAGCAGAATGACCTCGTGCAATGCGACATTGGTCGAAGCATTCGACTACACATTTAGACAACAGGATTATGAATTTCAGCTGATCCAATTATTCCGCTTACTTACGCCACACACATACTCTGTCTTATAAGCTTTTCACTTATTAATTTAGTTTCCTTTCTGAATGACTTACTAATCATGTTTTATTTAATATTAATTGGCTTGGTATAATGAGGGAAAGTATCCTTCATTCTGAATTGCTCGAAGCAGCTAGAAATCATCCTGCCAGTTCTCAGTGAAATCGTCAGCTAGCCTAAAAAACACACCTGCATTTCAAGTTTTTGCATGATTGATGCACCATCGGCAAGATTGAGACGCATTATGAAGCCTGTGGATTGATCGCCCGCACAAACGAAACCCGATCCTTCCTGCTCCGTACTGAATGCTACCAGTTCGATTGTCGGATACCCGGATTTTCCCTTTCAATAAATTTCACTTAGAGCCAGTCAAACCGACTCTTACTTTTTGGAAACAGTCGGCACAAATGCACTTGATCTTAAGTGAACAAAGCGAAAGACACGACCGGTACCGAAAAAACTGTTTTTACCTTAAGGATAAGTAGTCCGCGATAGAATTGCTCATTTATTTATTTTTTCCATCTAATCGGTAATATATCTCATCTTGGCTTGGCAGTGTCAGCGTTCGAGACGAAATGATGATGATCAAGCGTCGAGACGAGATGATGATGATATCAAGGATATCTCGAAACTGCTTAAGCATTGCTAGGCATTTTTGTTGGGGAACAGCTGTGGGACTCACGCGTTAATGATGTTACTCAGATGCTCCCTCATGTTAAGATCAACTACTCTTGGCCTTTTGGTCAACTGCGCTCTTGCCAATTACTAAATTTAGATTGCAAAAAAAAAAAAACAATTTTGGACGTTCAACTTCAATACAGAAAGGTGGATGAGATACCCTACCTTGTCCGAGTAACCAAGGTTTTCTCGGTTATTCTGGAATGAGGTAAAAAATTCATTTAGAGACGAAGGCGTATTGGCAGAAACTCGTACTTGGAGAAAAAGCATTTCATGTCTAATAAATTAAAATAATCACCACGGTAATGGAAGCAAATGCATGGCGTAACTGCTTCTTCCGACTGAGTCTTTCACGCAGGAGATCCAAGTACCATTTTTGTTTGCGTTCGATTTCAGAACGTGAAGGAAACGGTTGCGTGTTATCGAATGCCAACTATATAACAAATGATTATTTTTGTTTGATGGTCTTTTTTTTCAGATTGAACAAAGATTATTTATGAGTATCTAAGGAAATTATGATTGCTAGATCATAATTTTAGAAACTGTTGAAAAATTCTGAACGAAGAATTTGACCGAAGAGTCAAACCAGCTACCAGCTTGCTTGAAAGCAACTTTTTGTAGTGAAAAACATCAATATCCTTGTTAACTAGTAGTTGCTGTTGGCACCTGCTGTCATTTGAACTACATCAGAATGCGTCTGCTTCTCATATAGGGTGAATACGCATCACTTGTTATTATGGGTTTTTGCATATATGCAAATACAAAAACGCATATTGTGACGATCCGGTGTGTACATGTATGTTAGTGTGATCGTAAGTTGTCGGGTATTTCAACTCGGTAACCAAAATTTTGCCACAGGGTTTCCCGGCCAAATGCCATCTCAGGACCGCGGCACCAACCCTCACGCACGTCTGGGCTTCACGTACTAACTCATGAAAGTTTTGGCTGGGAAACCGCCAACTCGGAAACTAGGAAAAACTGAGAGGCTAAAATTTTAAGAGAATGTTCCCGGCCCAGGTACAGTTTAAAGATTTCAAGTTCAGCCCCCAGGTATGCTTGATTCTCAAAGGCGGTCTACGAAATTTTTAGCGTGAAAATCGCTAATTCGGGGACCAGAAAAGACAGAGAGCTGAAGTTTTGAGACGATTTTCCTTGACTAAGCACTATGTAGTTGCACAATTAACTTTCTGAACTTCGATGCCGCAAATTCTAGCTGCTGGGACTACAGGCGATCTTACGACAGCACCAAATACTCCAAAAACGCATGATCGCACGGGCACATCCGGTGCGCGTCGCCAGTGATTGAAATTGTAGCATACTGTATGTGAAATCATACTGTATGAAACCAGTCCTAAGGTTCGTTCATTCCTTTCAGTGGTAAACTGGTACCGGCATATGCCGGGGAGTCAAATCCGCCACCTTCTTCTTTAGATGGTTGCTACTAATGTGTACTATCACTCGGACTAATTTAAAACGCCTCAGCCCTTTACAGAGAGTAGTTTTGACTTATAAGTGAACGAAAATCGCCAAAAACAGCCAAACTATTGAAACAACCGGCCCTCTGTGTTCTTGAAATGCGTTCTTGTAAGCCACGTTAGGTGTTCATATCCTAACCTGGTTTCTCTTTTTTCCTTATTCAAGGCTTTTTGTACATTTGCTCCACTTTTTTCAATGATCGTAATAGTTTGCCGTCTCATTGGATGTCTCGTTGTTGCGCGGTAATTACCGGTTAATATTTTTGCTAAGATTTGAAATATACCAAAATTTCTCAATCTCAGATAAATTTTTACTTCAACTGTGGTACAGATTTAAGCCTTTTACATTTCCAAATGTATTTAGCTGATATATACTCATTGAATAGTATTTATAAATCTTAAATATAACAATTTGGATAAGAAACAGTAATCAGCACACTTTGGCATCGTCCGTCTTAGCTGTGCTGCTATATTAATGTTTATTTAAGCTTTTTATATTACTAATCTTCACTTACGTCTCAAATATGGAAACCCTGAATGTGGTAGAAAAATTTTGACAGGAAAACGGTTTCGCGAAATTTTAATTAATGTATCTGCTTATCACTCAGCTTATAACTTACATTGCATAGGCCTTCATGATCGTAAGTAAGGCGAACAGATGCTTTCAGAATTTTGATAACAGATATCGTATCAGTTCGTCGCAACACCTCACTCTCATGGATTGATAAAACAGCAATTGCAAATCGGAATAACACTTTTGTTCCTTCCAGCAGGAAACAATCCCAAATTCGGATCATTGTCTGTAATGGTCATCAACTTTACTGGACTCAGCTATACTTTTTATTTCTAACTTTGATTGTTGACGCTCTGGTCAACTGCAGTTCTTTAACTGTGTACCCGGTAACTTTTCTAGTTGCTTTGATCAATGCTGCATTATTTGGCAGTTGATTGGCTGGTAATCCTGAAGTTCGTTTCATCTCCTGAATGAAGTACTAGCTTGACAATTTTCTGGATAGCAGCACTTAGGAGAGAGCTGAACTGATTGCTATCATCGAGAGTTTAAGGAATGAAGAACAGTCAAATTTAGCCAAGTTGAATCGGGTATTTTCTTGACCATGGATTTCCGGGCAAGGAATCCTGCGCATCGAGGAATCCAGGGAAGAAAAGGCTAAATACAGTTGTGTGGCCAGACTGCGCGCAAATGCGCCATGCTGCTAATTCCCAAATGTAAATAATTAGCAACATAGTGCATTTACGGGCTTATGGCTGCTCCGCAGGGCGATTACTCGGGGCAACACAGAATTAAGTAGGTAGGTGGTAATTAATCTGACGATTTGTGCCCAGAAAATGAATATTTGGAGAGCCGAGGAAAAGTGACTGGCGTGAGCGGTACCACTCCACTGCTGCTGCTTGATGGATTCGGGAACAACGGAGACTGATGAGAACACTGGATGCCAGTGGTGGAATTGTGCCACTTTATGAACTGCATCTCGTTGGCATTTACATATGGAGGGAGGCGACTGAGCTCGGAAGCATACCTCTCCGAGAATCCCACCTTTTTATGCCAGTGCTCATGCGCGCACACACACACATACATCACTGTTCAATTTTGATATGCAAATTAGGCCCACAAGCGACCCAAAACCTCAAAACTCGCCACACACTCATCTCTCATCACGCGACAAAGCTAGAAGCTTGCCGGGAGATTCGAGTGTCGCGCAATCCCTCACCAGACAGATTATGAATTAACATATGAATTGAG